TGGAAAGGATTTATTTGCAAATTATGGTGGAAAATAAGTATTTAGTCACTTACTTACAAACAAGCAAGATTTCTGGCTTTCACAGACCTGTACCTTCTTCTTTAAGAGGCTCCTCTGTCCTGCACTCATTACCTGTATCAATGGCACCTGTTTGAACTTGTTATCAGTATAAAAGACACCTGTCCACAACCTCAAACAGTCACACTCCAACTCCACTATGGGGAAGACCAAAGAGCTGTCGAAGGACACCAGAAACAAAATTGTAGACCTGAACCAGGCTGGGAAGACTGAATCTGCCATAGGCAAGCAGCTTGGTATGAATGAATCAACTGTGGGAGCAATAATTAGAAAATGGAAGATATACAAGACCACTGATAATCTCCCTCGATCTGGGGCTCCATGCAAGATCTCACCCCGTGGGGTCAAAATGATCACAAGAACGGTGAGCAAAAATTCCAGGATCACACAGGGGGACCTAGTGAATGACCTGCAGAGAGCTGGGACCAACGTAACAAAGGCTACCATCAGTAGCACACACTACGCCGCCAGGGACTCAGATCCTGCGGGCCCGTCTGAAGTTTGCTAGAGAGCATTTGGATGATCCAGAAGAAGATTGTGAGAATGTCTTATGATCAGATGAAACCAAAATAGTAACTGTTTGGTAGAAACACAACTTGTCATGTTTGGAGGAGAGAGAATGCTGAGTTGCATCCAAAAGAACACCATACCTACTGTGAAGCATGGGGGTGGCAACATCATGCTTTGGGGGCTGTTTCTCCACAAAGGGACCAGGACGACTGATCCATGTACAGGACAGAATGAATGGGGCCATGTATCGTGAGATTTTGAGTGCAAACCTCCTTCCATCAGCAAGGGCATTAAAGATGAAACGTGGCTGGTCTTCCAACATGACAATGATCCCAAACATACCACCCGGGCAACTAAGGAGTGGCTTCATAAGAAGCATTTCAAGGTGCTGGAGTGGCCTAGCCAGTCTCCAGATCTCAACCCCATAGAAAACCTTTGGAGGGAGTTGAAAGTCCGTGTTGCCCAGCGACAGCCCCAAAACATCACTGCTCTAGAGGAGATCTGCATGGAGGAATGGGCCAACATACCAGCAACAGTGTGTGCCAACCTTGTGAAGACTTACAAGAAATGTTTGACCTCTGTCATTGCCAACAAAGGATATATAACAAAATATTGAGATGAACTTTTGATATTGACCAAATACATATTTTCCACCATAATTTGCAAATAAATTCTTTCCAAATCAGCCAATGTGATTGTCTGTATTTTTTTTTTCTCATTTTGTCTCTCATAGTTGAGGTCTACCTATGATGCCAATTACAGGCCTCTCTCATCTTTTTTAAGTGGGAGAACATGCACAATTTGGTGGCTGACTAAATACTTTTTTGCCCCACTGTACATTGGCACTATTGCAACTACTAACCTCGAGCACAGTATTAGATGCCATCTCATTAATAAAAGTGCCTGCTTACCATCATCTATAACAGAAAAGAGGATTGGGGGGGGGTGCTTGTGCAGTCCCAAGAAGAGGAGCTGCTAAGATTGCTTCTTCTTTTTTAACATTCAAATTAAACCTCTAATTGATACATGGCACACTGACTGGGAAACCATTGATTTGTAACATTTAGCATACCTACAATTTACAAAAAAAATAAAATAAAGTAGCAAATGTATTCTAAAGAGTATTCTATTTTAGGCATACATTTCATGATTTTCTTAATTCAAGAATACACTTTGGTGTTTGCTTTTCTGGAAAAAAAAAAGAACTCAGTCGGTGTTTGGCCTAACATAGGCAACATCTCTAAAAAATATCCTTCCAAAAAGCCTCTTCTTGATATGCCAGATAGAGTTTGCATTTTAAAGCCTCCATGATAAAAGTGTGGTGCCTGCAGCATTACAAAGCTTCTCTGGAGAGTTCAGCCAGATGGAGGTCTATTGCTGCTGAATGCCTGGAACCCAAATCATTTCACTGAACTGGTGCCGTACTGAGTTATGGCAAGTCCCAACGTAGCACTGCTCAGATAAGGAGAAATGCTTTAGGTCTTTCAGTTTGTGTCAAGTTCTGGGTGTTTGTTTTATCTAAATGAGGTGTTAGTAGTTTCTAATACTAATTGAATGTGCTCAGCAAAACTATTTTGTTAAATATTTTTTATAACTATTTTAAAGAATTTTATTGTATCACGTTGCTGTGGTAATGTAGGTTAAAGATGCAGAAACAGTGTATGCGCTGCTAATGAGAGCTTGGGGTTAATTAGGAAACCTGTTTATCTAAAAATAGAGTGAATGTTCTTTTTCAACCTGAAGTCATGGCAGGAAAACCACCACAGTAGGAAAACATTAGATAATTAACCAGTTTTATCGCTTATCATTACTTGCATTGCTGTGACTTCCATTATACTCTTTGGTTCTTTCAAATTTTAAACCCAAATGACCTTTTAAAGCATCCTTTTTTATATCTCCTGGGAACTTTTATTTCTGAGTGTCTTTGACATTTCATTTAATTATTCAATATTTAACGCGCCTCATTTACTTATGAGCAAAGAGAAAAGTATACATAAACAGCCAATCATGTGAGGACACTCTTAAAAAATAGAGTTTGTTTTTTCAGTAATTGGTGCCTGAACACAGGTTCCTTTTTTTCTGCACTTCACCTCAACTCACTTCACACATTAGTCAATCAGGCCCAGTATGTTTAGATAAAGAAATGGAAAACTGAAATCTTCCTGTGCTTGAGGAGTTGGCCCCAAAAAGAGTTAATGGGTTGTAGTCAAAACTTGACCTTCATGGGGTGCACTTGCCTTGCTGCCCTCACAAGACTGGGGGGGTCTGGGAGCACTGCAATAACAATAAAACAAACAGAGGGCGCACTGGCCTAGTGCATTATCCTTTAAAATATTTAATACGTAAAAAGGTAAGGTTTTTTAATCAAGAGTTTTCTACCACTTTGAGACAGACGATGTTTAAATCTAGAAGAATTCAAACCACTGGGTGCTGATATCCATACATGAAAATTGTAGATAACTGAGAATAAGCAGCCATGACTCCTGTACACATGCACAGGAGTGATGTCATCATGGCTCAGCCATTCAAACAGCCATGAACCCTGAAGAAAGCCTGAGTGAAGATAGCAGCCATGTCATTAGTGACAACAGCAGATGCAAGGCACATTTTAAGGTAAGTCTGTCATAAGGCGGCACCTGTGCGCAGAATCACATATACATATATATATATATACAGTCAGGTCCATAAATATTGGGACATCAACAAAATTCTAACATTTTGGCTCTATACACCACCACAATGGATTTGAAATGAAATGAACAAAGATGTGATTTAACTGCAGACTGTCAGCTTTAATTTGAGGGTATTTACATCCAAATCAGGTGAACGGTGTAGGAATTACAACAGTTTGCATATGTGCCTCCACTCCTTAAGGGACCAAAGTAATGGGACAATTGGCTTCTCAGCTGTTCCATGGCCAGATGTGTGTTATTCGCTCATATATCCCAATTACAATGAGCAGATAAAAGGTCCAGAGTTCATTTCAAGTGTGCTATTTGCATTTGGAATCTGTTGCTGTCAACTCTCAAGATGAGATCCAAAGAGCTGTCACTATCAGTGAAGCAAGCCATCATTAGGCTGAAAAAACAAAACAAACCCATCAGAGAGATAGCAAAAACATTAGACGTGGCCAAAACAACTGTTTGGAACATTCTTAAAACGAAGGAACGCACCGGTGAGCTCAGCAACACCAAAAGACCCGGAAGACCACGGAAACAACTGTGGTGGATAACCGAAGAATTCTTTCCCTGGTGAAGAAAACACCCTTCACAACAGTTGGCCAGATCAAGAACACTCTCCAGGAGGTAGGTGTATGTGTGTCAAAGTCAACAATCAAGAGAAGACTTCACCAGAGTGAATACAGAGGGTTCACCACAAGATGTAAACCATTGGTGAGCCTCAAACACAGGAAGGCCAGATTAGAGTTTGCCAAAAGACATCTAAAAAAGCCTTCACAGTTCTGGAACAACATCCTATGGACAGATGAGACCAAGATCAACTTGTACCAGAGTGATGGGAAGAGAAGAGTATGGAGAAGGAAAGGAACTGCTCATGATCCTAAGCATACCACCTCATCAGTGAAGCATGGTGGTGGTAGTGTCATGGCGTGGGCATGTATGGCTGCCAATGGAACTGGTTCTCTTGTATTTATTGATGATGTGACTGCTGACAAAAGCAGCAGGATGAATTCTGAAGTGTTTCGGGCAATATTATCTGCTCATATTCAGCCAAATGCTTCAGAACTCATTGGACGCCGCTTCACAGTGCAGATGGACAATGACCCAAAGCATACTGCAAAAGCAACCAAAGAGTTTTTTAAGGGAAAAAGTGGAATGTTATGCAATGGCCAAGTCAATCACCTGACCTGAAACTGATTGAGCATGCATTTCACTTGCTGAAGACAAAACTGAAGGGAAAATGCCCCAAGAACAAGCAGGAATTGAAGACAGTTGCAGTAGAGGCCCGGCAGAGCATCACCAGGGATGAAACCCAGCGTCTGGTGATGTCTATGCGTTCCAGACTTTAGGCTGTAATTGACCGCAAAGGATTTGCAACCAAATATTAAAAACTGAAAGTTTGATTTATGATTATTATTCTGTCCCATTACTTTTGGTCCCTTAAGGAGTGGGAGAGGCACATATGCAAACTGTTGCAATTCCTACACCGTTCACCTGATTTGGATGTAAATACCCTCAAATTAAAGCTGACAGTCTGCAGTTAAAGCACATCTTGTTCATTTCATTTCAAATCCATTGTAGTGGTGTATAGAGCCAAAAATGTTAGAATTGTGTCGATGTCCCAATATTTATGGACCTGACTGTATATATACATATATATATATATATACACACACGTCATTTTGCATTACCAGGTAGGGGGCTCGCATGAGCTGCGTGTGCACCCTACCGCGGATGCCAATCACTAGGTCCCAGCCGGTAATTACCCGCCGACGCCCGGTGATTACTGAGCATCTCCGACAGGGAGGAAGATTGTTTTGTTCACAAACAATCTTCCTCCCTGTCAGCTTGAGCACACTGCTTGGGATGGATGTGCAGAGTACAGCCATCCTGATCAGTGTGCTTACAGTGAAGAACACCCCTCCCCCCTAGTAAAACACTCACAGCAGACAAGTAACCCTTTGATCGACTCTGACATTAACCCCTTTCTGCCCTTAGTTATTATTAGTACTCATTAGTACAGTGTCAGTGCTTTTTTTCTAGCACTGATGACTGTATTGGTGTCACTGGGGTGTCAGTGACACCAAGTTAGTTCCCCCCAGTGTCAGAATTTTCCCTGCAGTCCCACTAAAAGTCGCTGATCATTACTGGTAGAAAAAAAATCCCATTATCTATACCGACATTTGTAAACGCTATAACGTTCACGTAAACCAATAAATTTACACGTATTGGGATATTTTTTAGCAAAGACATATCACAGAATACATTTTGGCCTAAATTTATGACGAAATTAGATTTTTTTAATTTTTTCACTGGACATGTTTAATAGCAAAAAGTCTAAAATATTGTTTTTTTTCACAAAATTGTCATTCTTTTTTTGCATATAGTGCAAAAAATCAAAAACACACAGGCAATCAAATATCACCAAAAGGAAGCTCATTTTGTGGAAAAAAAAGGTCGTAAATTTAATTTGGGTGCAGTGTTCCATGACCACGCAATTGTCAGTTAAAGTAATGCAGCGTCATAACACAAAAAAAGGCCTGGTTATGAAGGGGGGTAAATCCTCAGGAGGGCAAGTGGTTAAACCATCTAGGGGCTCTTTTTTTTTTTTTTTTTAAATCAAAAGAGTTTTCTACCACTTTGAGACCGACAATCTTCAAATCTAGATGAATGGAAACCACTGGCCGCTAATAGCCATACATGAAAATTGTAGCCAATTCAGAATAAGAACTAATATCACAGCTGCTCTGATGACCATTAGGAGTAGTGGGTCGATAAAGGTGAAATCTAATTCTGAGTGCTACTGATAAGAAGCCATAAAAATGGGGCTAACGCAATCAATAAAAAAAAATCCTTTGTCCGACCAACAATTAGTATATCAAGAATGAAAATAGTTGTATTGACCAATAATCTAAAAATCCATGAAAAATCAACATCTAGTGCTTTAGTCAAATCTAGTACAATTGATGAGATTATATCTGCTCTGTACAGTACAGACAGGGTTAATTATGGTAAACACAGCTACCCAGACCCTCTTCATAACAAAGAGAACAAAACAGAATTTTTCCCTGCTGGAAGTTCCAATCTTAAAAAAGTAAGCTACAATTTTTTACTTTTCTTAAGTTATGATATGTGCATGTTGGAATACAATAATCATGTATTTTTGTGTAACAACTACACCAACAGTATTCAGTAGAGGTATATTCTTCAGCCAGTACTTCAACTGCATCTATGATAAACCCTATGTCTCTTCTCTATAATAAAGTTCCTGTTTCCTGTTTGCAGAGAAGCAGCACATACAAACACGTGGACTGTGCACTGTCTGTTCTGTGGGGCTATATATAGGATCTCTAACAGGTTATGAGCCCAGACACCTAGTCATAGCTTGCTACAGCAAAAAAAAGTGTAAGATACAGCAACAGAAAGAAGACTGCATGAGAATAAAAGAAAATGGCCAGCAACACAGCTGCAACAAAGATTTCATTTGCAAACCTGACAAACCAAAACTGCCAGTCTTGGAAATTCAAGATGAAAATACTGCTAATAAGGAGGTGGAAATGTATCAATAAAGTCACGCCAGAACACCCTTCAGAAGAGTGGATAGAAAAAATCATAAAGCTCAGAGCACGATATCTCTTAGCATAGAAGATGATCAAATCATACATATAAGTGTGAAACTGCTAAAGAAATGTGGGAAGGATTACAAAGGGTGCATGATAAAGCTAATCTCAGCAATAAACTGTATTTGATGGATGAATACTACAGGTATACTGCACTATATCTGTTACACATCAAAAGAGATGTACCAGAGAAACTTGAATAATATTTGGTTCAAGTAAGCAACAAATATGGCAAAATATTAAACAAAACCTCTGACCATAAAAATCACAATTAAAACAATAAAGTGATACAAATAATATCAACATCAATCGATAAAACCACCAATATAGAGAAATTTGGCAAAATGCTGAACGTATTGCGTATTGACAATGGAACTGAATATACATGTGATAGCACACAGGCAATTGTCAGAAAGCATGGCATAATATTTCAAACTACTGTACCATATAACCCATAACAAAATGGGATTGCAGAAATAATGAACCGTATTCTATATGAGAGTGGAAGAATCATGCTGTTTGATGCAGATATGCCAACCACATACTGGGGGAGGCAATTATGACTGCATGTAATCTCCAAACTTGACTACCAGGACAATTAACAGAAAACATTCCATATGAACTCCATATGAACTGTGGAATGGAAAAGCCCCGAATTTGAACCATATAAAATTTTGGATGTGCACATTCCAAAAGAAAAATGAATAAAATGGGATGCTTACACAATGGAAGGTGTACTTGTGGAGTACTGTGAATCTCCAAAGGAATACAAAATTCTACACTAAGACGCAAACAAGGTAACATTAGTAGAAGTCTAGTTGTCAATGAAACTTCAGAGTATTCAAAATTTCATGAACTAACACAAATGCTTCAAAGTGACACAGAAAGAGAAATTAAATGCAGACAAACCAGTAGATTGCAGTGTTTAAACATTTTTAACTGCATCTATGATACAAGTCTATGTCTCTTCCGGTTTCCTGTTTGCAGAGCAGCAGCAGATAAATACATGTGGACTGTACGCCTTCTGTTCTGTAGGAATATATTGTATACAGACTCTCTAACAAACAAATATAAAGTAGGTATTATCCCAATTTGCTACAAAAGTGTAAATACCCTTTAGTGTATCAGCACTAAACTATGATTTCCTTATGGTCCAGTCACTACTTGGATTCACATCTCCTAAACCTTGCAAGATCATCAAAGAACTACTTGCAGAGGGCATTTGTATCACAGTAGATGTGAGAATGTGCTGTACAATTCGTTTTGCTTTAATGTGCTTATGTCTAATGCATACCATGACATAAGGGTAGTTTCACACCTATACATTTTGCAGTTGATGTGTTTTCCTGGTGCTTTTTGAGCTGTGATTTACATTTTTCACATGTTTTTGATGCATTATTACTGCGTTTTTTATGCATTTTGTGCTTTGCATTTTTGGTATGTGAATGTTGCTGGGGGTGCTTGTTGTAATAAATGAAAATGCACCAAAAATTAATGTACATGCATGTTCATTCACTTTTAATGCATTTCCATTGAAGTCTATAGTACAAAAAACTTAACCTGCTGCGGGCAAAAAAAGTCCCTAACCCTTTCCAAAAAAACACACACCGATTGAAAACGCACAGATGTGAATGTGACCCATAGGAAATCATGTTAAATGGACTGCAATGCATTTCTGTAAATCTGAAAATGCACTGCAAATCACATAGGTGTGAACCTAGCCTAAAATCACATTACCATGTCATGTATTAACATAGATACTTTTCTTCAGATTGAAAATTCATATCTGTATATTGGTGTCTGTTTTCCTTATTTAGAAGAAGATTCATGCTTTTATCTGCACTTGCTCAGACAAATTATTATTATTATTATTATACAGGATTTATATAGCGCCAACAGTTTGCTCAGCATTTTACAATATAAAGGGAGACAATGCAGCAACGATACAGTTCAATACAAGAGGGTTAGGAGAGCCCTGATCCTTGGAGCTTACAATTTAAAAGGGAGGGGCTGGTGGTACAAAAGGTAAGAACTGTGGGGGATGAACTGATAAGAGGAATAGAAGATTCTGTTGTTAGCTGAAGGCAGAATAGGCTTCCCTGAAGAGATAGGTTTTCAGAGATCGCCTAAAAGTGGGCAGAGTAGGCGATAGCCAGATAGTTTGGGGTAGAGAGTTCCAGAGGATGGAGGAGGCTCTGGAGAAGTCCTGTAGACGAGTATGGGAGGAGGAGACAAGAGAGCAGAAGGTCATGGGAGGAGCAGAGAGGACAATTTGGGTGATATTTGGAGACAATATTGGTGATGTAATTTTGGGCAGAGTTATAAATGGCTTTATATGTTATTGTTAATGTTTTAAATTTTATTCATTGGGAAATGGGAAGCCAGTGGAGGGATTGGCAGAGAGGGATGGCAGATATGGAATGGTTTATAAGGTGGATGAGTCTGACAGCAGCATTCATGATAGCCTGCAATTAAGTAGGCCAATAAGGAGGCCGTTACAATAGTCAAGGTGAGAGATAACACAAGGGAGTGAATAAGTTGCTTAGTGGTTTCAGATGTTAAGAACGGGCGTATCTTGGAGATATTGTGGAGGTGAAGTCTACAAGATTTGGACAGTGATTGGATTTGGGGCTGAAAGGACAGATGGGAGTCCAGGATTACACCTAGTACCCTGGCATGAGGGGAGGGACTGATGGTTGTATTATTGATCTTGATGGAGAAGTCAGGGGAGGGGGCAAGGGCTGAAGGGAACAGTATGAGCTCATTTTGGAAAGATTTAGCTTGAGGAAGTGGAGTGACATCCATGCCAGTGTGCTACTTAGTAGGTTAGTAATGCGAGAGGATACTGAAGGGGTGAGGTGAGGAGTAGAAAGATAGATTTGTGTGTCATCAGCACAGAGATGGTACTTAAAGCCATGTGAGTTTATCAAGTGACCAAGGGAGGAGGTGTATATGAAAAAAAGAAGGGGTCCAAGGACAGAACCTTGAGGGACATCTACAGAAAGAGGAAGTGGAGAGGAGGAGACAGAGTTATAGGTAACACTGAGGGAGTGCTGCCATATGTAGGAGGAGAAACAAAAGAGAACAGTCTCGGAGGCTAAGAGAGTGGAGTTTTTTGAGGAGGAGGAGGGGATGGTCAACAGAATCAAAAGCCGCAGAGAGGTCAAGTAGTAAGAGTATGGAGTAGTGGCCATTGGCTTTATCAGTTAGTAAATCATTAGTGAGTTTTAGTAGGGCAGTTTCAGTGGCGTGTAGTGAGCAAATGCCAGACTGTAAAGGGTCAAGACGGTTGCTGTCAGTGAGGTAGGAGCTCAGGCGATTGTAGACTAAGCATTCCAAGAGTGTAGGGGTAAACAGGAGCATGGGTCTTAAGTTGTTCAGGTTGGTGGGGTCCAGCAAGGGTTTTTTAAGAATGGGAGTGATAAGTGCATGCTTTAGAGGGGTGGGGAAGGGACCACTAGAGAGGGAGAGATTGAAGATGTGAGTGAGGGAGCATAGGACAGAATCCGGGTGCATGTGGCTTCTGAGAAAACTTTAGTGATCTCTTCAATAGTAGCAAGGTCAAAAGAGGAAATTGTTGAGGGAGGTTTAGTATAAGGTATGCTAAGGGGATAGATGTCTGTGTAGCGGAGATGCCCCTAAAAACTGCATCAATCTTGTTTTTGAAATTATTTGCAATCTCGTAAGCAGTAAGTAGGTTATTGGGTGTAGGTGGAAGTGGAGAAAGTAGAGAGTTAAAAGTAGAGAAGAGACGACGAGGACTGGGTGACAAGGTATTAATAATTGATAAAGTAGATCTTGTTTGGCAGCATGGAAGGAGGAATTGTATGTCACGAAAGCAGATTTAAATAGGGTGAATGCTTGCTGAGATTTGGTTTTATGCCACAATAGCTCCAGTGCACGACTATGGCATTTTAGATTTCTGGTGCCGTCAGTCTGCTACAGTTGTAATGGTCGGGGCCTAATACCCCATGTAGTTGGAGGAGCAAGTGAGTCTAGTGCGGTTGAAAGCAAACTGTTGTAGACAGCAGTGGCCAGGTGAGGCCAGGACAGGGGAGAGATTCTGTCAGAGAGGTGGTCAGTTGCAGAGTGGAAAAGAGAAGGCTTTAAGTTGTGGAGCTTTCTGCGGGTAATTGTTTGCTGCTTGGAGGGATAAGTGTTTGAAGATGAGGACACTGTGAAGGTGATGAGATTGTGATCAAAGAGAGGAAAGGGGGTGTTTGTGAGGTTGTAGGGAGTGCAAATATGGGAGAAAACAAGGTCTAATGTATTTCCATCATAGTGAGTGGAGGACTGTATCCATTGTGTTAAGGCAAAAGATGAGGTTAGGTTGAAGAGTTAGGACGTGGCTGGGTTGTTCATATTAGGGATGTTAAAATCTCCAAGAATGATAGTGGGTATTTCAGAGTAGAGAAAGCAGAAAAGTCATCAAGAAAGTGCGACACAGGCCCAGGAGGCCGGTAGATCACTGCAATCCTCAGAGAAATGGGAGAAAACAGCAAAATGCAGTGAGTCTTCAAAGAAGAGAAGGATAGAGAGGGAGGGTTAGGGAGAACTTGAAAGCTGCTCAGTGGGGATAGAAGCAAACCAACTCCAGCTCCTTTCCGACCACTGGGTCTGGGTGAGTGGGTCCAGAGAAGACCTCCATAGGAAAGTGCTGCGGGAGAAGCAGAATCTGATGCTTGAAGCTAGGTTTCTGTAATCGCTAGTAGGAGTGGGAGACAAAAACGTCATGGAGAGAGGTGAGCTTATTACAGACAGATCGGGCATTCCAGAGTGCACATGAAAAAGGGAGGGTGTATTTTAGGAGCATGGGAATTGAGATTAAATTGAGTGGATTGCGGCTATTCCCGGAGGAAGGAGGGTGCCTGGTGTGGGGGTGAGATACTGGAGGAACAGGGTTCGGGGAGATATCCCCAGTGGTTAGGAGAAGAAGGAGGGTGAGGATGTATATGAGTGCACATGCCTTCCTATCCTGGTGTTTGGGTCAGCAGGTGAGTAAAGTATTAGCAGGAGCTGATGCAAGCAGTAGTAGGGAGATGGTAGAAGTGAGGGTGATATGTATAAACTTGGGGGTAGAGCAGAGGGGTAAAGAAAGGAAATTTTGAGAGCAGAGGATAGTAATATGAAAAAGAGGAGTAGAGGGGGCATTTTAAAAGGTACATGGAGTGGGAGTCAAACTTGTAGATGTTTCCCAGGGTGTTTGCTTGCAGTCCATCCAACGTGCAGTAGAGTTCTTTGTTGTATCTTCCTGCTGCTTGAGTTATCCTGCTTTAGTTAAATTTCTGTGTTCAACTGCTGTTTTGCACTCCAGTAAAAAATTCACTGCTGTGTTCAACTGCTGTTTTGCTCTCCAGCAGAAAATGCACTGCTGTGTTCAACTGCTGTTTTGCACTCCAGCAAAAAATGCACTCACGTAGGACAATGCCCCCATCTGCGACTGTACCCCCCATCTGTGACCTCCCCCATAAGCTGGTCTAAATTTATAGGGAGATGATCAAATGAGCAACTCTTCTCCGCCCCAATTAGGAACTGATAAGGATCGCATGAATTTGGGGGAGGTTGGTCAAAACCAGAACAGCTACAGACACAGGCCAAGGTCATAAAAGATCATTCTCTGATCACTGAAAGGCAAAGGAGGTGAGAATCAATCACTACAGAAAAAAAGATATAGGACTATTTTACAGAAAGTCAGTGCATAGCAGGGAGACAGTTTAACCGCTTAAGGACAGCCCTATAGCAGAAATACTGCTAAAGGGCGGCACCTGTGCGCAAAATCACGTATATATAAATGTGTGATTTTGCATTTCCGGGTAGGGGGCATGCGTGAGTTGCGCCGCGGATGTCAATCACCTGGTCCTGGCCGATAATTGCCCCTCCGGTGCCCTGTGATTTCCACGCATCTCCATCAGGGAGGAAGATTGTTTTGTTTACAAACAATCTTCATCCCTGTCAGTTCAAGCACACTGATCGGGATGGCTGTGCACAGTACACACCCCCCGTCCCAGAGTAAAACACTCCCAGCACACAGGTAACCCTTTGATCGACCCTCACATTAACCCCTTCCTGCTCAGTGCCATTAGTACAGTGTCAGTGCTTTTTTTTAGCACTGATCACTGTATTGGTGTCACTGGGGTGTCAGTGACACCAAGTTAGATCCCCCCAGTGTCAGAATGTCCGTTGCAGTCCCGCTAAAAGTCACTGATCGCTGCCATTACTAGTAGAAAAAAAATCCCATTAGCTATACCACCATTTGTAAACGTTATAACTTTCACGTAAACCAATTAATTTACACATATTGGGATTTTTTTTAGCAAGCACATGTAGCAGAATACATATTGGCCTAAATTTGGTGGTCTTTTTTTGTTTATAGTGCAAAAAAATATAAAATGGACAGGTGATCAAATACCACCGAAAGAAAGCTCATTTCATGGGAAAAAAGGATGTAAATTTCATTTCGTTGCATGACCACGCAATTGTCAGTTAAAGTAATGCAAAAAATGGCCTGTACATGAAGGGGGTAAATCCTCAGGAGGGCAAGCGGTTAAGGTGGAGATCACATAACAGCGTTTACCTGTGAAATTAGAGCTACAGTATAAAGAAACAGGGGCAGTATTATTTGTCTGTTACCTCCTATACCAGATTCTGGAAGTCCTTCTGTTATTTATTTCAGGTACTTATATAGAGCCGTCAATTTACACTGTGCTTTACACTCTGTATTGTACTGTATATTGTACACTCTCATCAGTCCCTAACCCTCAAGGGGTGTACAATCTAAGGTCCTTAACTCACATTCATATATACTAGGGCCAATTAACCTACCAGCATGTTTTTGGAGTGTGGGAGGAAACCAGAGTACCCAGAGGACACCCACACAGGCACAAGGAGAATATGCAAACTCAGTGCAGGTAGGGCTGTGAACCAATGATCCTAGGGCTGCTAGGCAGAAGTGCTAACCACTTAGTCACTCTGCTTCTAGTCTAATCTTTGCTGTTGGTCTGCCATCAATTTCTGTTACTTCAGTATGATCTCTTACATTTGTGGTTAAGACTAGAGCTTGTGGTTTAGGTCAAACCATAATTTGAACTTGAACCCAAGGAGTTTGTGGTGCAAGCACATGGCTAAATAATGAGGCTATTGATGAACACTGCAACTAATTAACAACAATACTCCTCCTGGCCTTTAAATTGTAGTCAGGTGGCTTAGAAGGGTCGATCATAGGGTTTTTCCAATGTGCCAGCATCCTCTCTGTAAAGGTCTGGGTTCCCAGCAACCTTTGTTAAATGTGCGTTGGAACAGACATGGGATAGTTATTATTATACAGGACTGTTGAGGTCATGTGGCCTGGTATGGTTCAGTTGGAGTTGCTCGCTCGCCCCCCCCCCCCTTCCTGCCCTGTCGGGCCACATGCTCAAATAAGAGTCTGGTATGGATTTTGAGGGGGACCCACAAGCCTTTTTGTTTTGTTTTTTATTTTGACATGGAGTTTCCCCTCAAAATCCATACCAGACCTGAAGGGCTTGGTATGGATGGGAGGGGGGGGCCCTACACCATGTTTTTTAAAAATTTGCCAACAACTTTATTGACATTCAGCTGTCAGCAGGGATCTCACTGACAGCTGAAACATTGAAGAAAGCTTCACTACTAAAATACTGCATAACTTAATAATATAACTCATGCTGTATTTTAGAGGCTGAGCGGTATCTTACCACATACTCAGATGCAGTAAGATACTGCTCAGTAAATTGTTCCTGTTCGAAGTTTGCGGTCGAACGTTCGGTAGGTTCAAATGTTCAACCACAAACCGAACAGGGGGGGTGTTTGGCCCAACACTATGGCCTGTTGATGTTAAATTGTTAAAATGGGGGCACAAGTGATTCAATACTGTGTACTTTATTTTGGGCACTTTTTTAAGTAAAATACTTGCATGCTATAGTTGATTTGGCTGATTTAGGTCCTGTGCAGAATAAGGCCTAGTACAAGTGATTAAATACTATGTACATAGATAACACTTTATTTTGGGGGCTTTTATCATTGAAATAATTACAATCTAATGTAAATTTCTGAATTTCAAAAATGGCAAGTGTTTCAAAATGTAACCTAGTGCTAATTAATAGAAGTTAATACATACCATGCACCACATTGTTCTAGGGGCTTTTTTCAGCAAAATATTTACACTCTAATGGCGATTTCTTGATTTTAATGTGACTATTGAGGGTCCTGTTGAAAATTGGGCCTAGCCAAAATGTTTAAAACTATGCATGTACTACAATATTTTGGTGGGATTCATTTACAGTGAAATATGTAAACTATAATGCATATTCTTTTTTAAAAAAAAGCTGCCTGTGTTGAGTCCTATTGACAAAGCTGCCTAGTCAAGGTATGCTGTGTTTGTACTCAGTACAGTTCTTTGGGATTCGTACAGTGAAATACTGTAATTACACTCTAATGTTGACAGTATTTGTTTTAGAAAATGCTGGCTGGCAGGCCCAGACTAGCCATAGGGCACACTGGGCCTTTGCCCAGTGGGCCAGGGCTGCATGTACAGGAATATGATGTGGGGCTGGGGCGCAATGCAACGCAGATGCGGCAGCTCAGCTGCCTCTTGTCTGGAGCCTGCGCCGCTCCTAGGTCTCTCTGCGGCACGACTGCTCAGTCCCTCCAAGCAGAGGGAAGGAGCTAGCGGTCAGCTGACCTGTGGGCCACCCGTGACTGTGAAGGGGTGTGGAGCTGGAGGAGACTCCATCGCCTGATGGCACAGACACTACAGAGAGCCAGCCCAGACTGAAGAAAAGTAAGTGCCAGCCTGCCAGTGAGTGAACATTTACTGTTAGTAAATACTATAAGACACTTTGTATAGACTCAGACTGACAGAATCTATACAAATTGTCTTATAGTTTTTTCTGACAGTAAATGTTCATCATGAGACATGCGAGGATGCTTGGGTGTTTAGCTCTGTGGCTGTCATTTTACCTTCTGACATTACATGTTGTTCTCTGTCTGTTCAGTATCACTCACTTTGTGAGAGGGAGACCGTTCTTGCCAAGAATGGTCTCTCTATCTCACAATGTCAGTGAACTTCTTGGAATCAACATGGTGTCCTGCATTAAGGCCCAGTTCATACTGCTAAAATGGGTGTTCACATCCATGTGATCCGATTCTGTAAATCACACTGCATTTTGAGAACCAATTTTGGGGTGTTGTTAACATACACAACTGCTGCGGTTCACATGAACAGAGTGCGATTTTGATGTGGTGCTGGAAATGCACAGAAATCAGCATCAGTGTAAACCAGGCCTCTGTAGTAAGGTTGATTGGGCTGTCTCTTTGCATGACTGGGCTGTCTTTTTGCTGGATTGGAATACCTTGTTGCTGTACTGGGCTGTCTCTTTGCTGGATTGGAATGTCTCATTGCTGGACTGGGCTGTCTCTTTGCTGGACTTGAATGTCTCTTTGCTGGACTGGGCTGTCTCTTTGCTGGATTGGGCATGTCTCTTTGCTATATGGGGATGTCTCTATGCTGGCTCATGATGTCAGTTTTCTGGATGGGGCTCTTTGCTGGCTCGGGATATGTCTTTGCTGGATGGGGATGTCTCTTTGCTGGATTGGGCCATCTCTTTGCTGAATATATAGGAGGCACTGGGATTAGAGAGAAAGGGGGTGGGGCATGAGTGCAAGTGGCACTGTGATAGGGGGCTGTGATTGCTAGGGGCACTGTAATATAAATGGGCACTGTGATATAAAGGGAGCTGCAGTGTAAAGGGGCACTGTAATTAATACAGTGCCCCTTTACAGTACAGTCCCTTTTATAACACAGTGGTCCTTTACATTACAGTGGAGGACTGACTCTGTGAATAACCCATCACAAATCACCCTCACGAACGCCAGATCCCTATTCCCCCATCCCCCCCCCCAGTCCCCGGAGAAATTGGCTGCTCAGTATAAAATGCCCAGGCCTATTTTTTGTCCCAGTCCGGGCCTGCTGGCTGGTATACATCTTGTTCAAAATTCAGCCCAGTATAAGTGCTTAAAGTGGAACTCCAGGTTAAAAAACACCTCTGGAAAGCCTACAAGTTAAATATTAGCTTTAACGATGTGTATGCTAGAACCACAATACTGATGGCTACTGTGGAAATTAATTTTCATTCATGCTGGATATCACACACAGTCTTCTGACTGACAGTTTAGGCCAGTGTTTTTCAACCTTTTTTCAATCAAGACACCCTTTAAAATTATGGACAGTCCCAGAGCACCCTTTAAAATTATGGGCAGTCTTGAGGCACCCAATTCTAAAATGTGAAAATCTATTCTAATAGTTTTATAAAACACAGCAACATCCACATACGTAGGGCGCCCAACGTTAGAGGTGATTTATTCTTCCAAAGCAAATACACTTTTTCACACTGGTACTGAGTAGTATTCCAGTGTTTCTCTTCCTCAGTTTTTCTCCATCACTGAGATAATGTGACCCCAGCGCTGATGGAGAGGGGCAGGGAAGGGTCAAACTAGGATGCTGTGCAGGCAGCTGATATCCTCCTTATCAACTGATGGCGTCATTGGTTGTCAGGATGAAAATCTATGGCTTTGTGTAACTAAAAGTCAGGCTTGTTCCACCCACTGGCTTGTATACAAGTTTTGGGAATTTTTTAGACATTTTGAAAGGCACCCCTGGAGAAACCTCAAGGCACCCTGGTTGAGAAAGGCTGGTTTAGGCGATAGTGCAGCAAATTGGTTATGTCATTCACTCTCTCCTTCCTCTTCACTCATCCATTTACAAGAAGCCTTGTATTCCTACAGAATGCAAGGTGTTCTGTGAATGTACTAGGGGAAGGAAGGGTAGGTAAATGACAGGTGAGTGAAGTGTACACATAGTCACCACAGTATGTGGGTGCCTTTTTCAGTGAAATAAACTCTAATTTATTCTGTACATAAAGTCAGTGCAATAGTTTTTAAATACATTTCTGTAAAAAAAACACTGATTTGAATTTATAATTATAAACCTGCCTGTAGCTTCCCAGTTAAAATGTGTCCTACTATAGCATCTGAGATATGACATCTCACACATGGAATGACCATTTTTTTCTGTCTTTTTAGTGAAATAATACATTCTAGTTTTCATATCTTGATTAAAATCTTTCTGGTGTCTCCCTCTTGAACTACAATCTACAAAAGCTACTTATATAGTTATAGAGCGT